AGTTAACTGAATGAAGAGACCCTATTTCCAATCAGTCACATCCAAGGGACAATGGAGTTTAGGGCTTCTACATAGCTTTTGCCATACTGAGAAATACATCTGCACAGTTCAAAGCCAACACGTTTGGGATTATTACCATAGGCCTCGGGGCGGGGATGTCCTTGGGTGGGTTTGGCCAGGATGTAGGCCTGGCGTTCCTGATTGTGTGCCTTAGTGAGGCGAAGGGAATCATAAATGAAGAAAGGTGACTTGGAACATGCCCAGGCAATGAACCTTGCACCTTGCTCTATAAAGAAAATGCAATTTAAAAGTATGAAAAAAATCAGACCCGGGAAGTTCTGCAGATGATGGGCACGCAAAATAAAAATCCCGGCTAGAAATCATGCTACAAAAGAAAAGATTTTTACAGTGGTAACTTGGACAGAAGGACCAAAGTCACTGTTTTGAGATATTTTATTCTTAGTAAATTCTCTAATGTACAGTTTCACTCTAAGAGGCATGCAAAAAAGCTTATTTTATGGCTGTACAATTCAAACAGCAAAAGGTAACCCCTATATTTAAAATTTAGATGCTTGTTTTTAAGTGCATGCCAGAATTGAGAGTAGTCTGATTAAGGGTTAGTACCAATATAACTATTCTATATGAGTTGATTTCACACCATGTGCAGAACCACTTTATCTTCTGAAGTAGTTCAATATATCCCTAAATGAGTTCCTTCTTCATGTGTAAATCTCAGAAAGTTTTTACTATGGCCATGGCTTCATAAAAGGATTTAGTATACTCAAGACCTCACAGCGGCCCAAAGAAAGCACTGGTCACAGGTAGTTTTAGGGACTGCAGGCAACAGCGAGGAAGATACACGCATGTGTTTTTGAAGCTCCAGTTCGATTTCACAGAAAGTCAGTGTGGCCATTCCAGCCTAACAAGTTATCTTTAAAATTCCGTTTCCAAGGCAACAATCAAGAGATTCCTGTACACTGCTTTTTTCTTTTTTTAAATAGAAATCCTTTTGACAATTTTACTTACTGTAACAGCAAAGGCAGGTGCTAAGTATGACTGTCTTGCTTTAATCTTCTTTTATCAGAATTTGGGGGAAGCCGTTGACCTCTTCGTTTCATGGCCTAGTATCAGGTCCCCAGTTTGTTTTTTCCCCCCATTAGATCATTTTTATTTAATTATGAAAGATTAAAATATATCCGGACAGATTACATTCCGACGTGTTACAACAATTTACACCGTTGTCACCCTCGACTGCTTTGATCACGTGCCAGTCGGCTAAGGGCAGACAAAATCGGACTGATATTCCCAGTGGAGGCCTGGAGATCTAGTCCAGCTCACGTGTGTAAGTACGCCGGCCCAGGCTCAGCCCCCCACGTGTGCACGCCCGTGATGAGATGGGGAAAGGGCTCTTACCTGCGCATTTCACCCCCTGAGCAATGAGCCCCCACATGAAGTTGGCACAGTATTCACACCAGTGCGGCCCTCGGAAGGTATGGACCTGGAAGAGAACAGAGGTAAAGTCGAGGGGGTGAACCGGGGGCGGGTGAGGAGGCACTGACGGACCACGGACCATGATCGGTCCCGAAGAGGCAACACGGTTGCATTCAGGAGCAACCTCGGCTGAGGAGAACTGAGAAGCAGGTTCAGTTCTTTCCTGGCCATGATTTAACTTCCTCGTGGTTTTAGAAACAGCCACGATCAAACAAGTATTTTGTGGTTTGCTTTTGAAAACCATTTCCACCGCAAGAGTTTTCCAATGGCTCCCCTCGGGCCACACGAAGCTTCGTGTAAGCCGTGCACAAAGACTGAAGGAGGGGAGAGGTAGTTTAGAGTACACCGTGGGCCCTGCGGGATGCTGTCAAATGACCCCTCCCTTTCCTGTGGCCACAGCTAGTCACAGACAGGAAAGACACCTCTTATGGACGGGTCACAACCAGATCATCAAAACAGGTCCATTTCTGTTTAAAATGGTTTTGTTCTTGGTATGTTAACATGTTAACAAAGAAAATGGATTTCATTTTAGAAACCAGAAGCATCAGTTCACCAGAAAACCCGTTTGAATACAGCAGTTGTTCATGAATTATTCCAGCTCGCACAGGTTGTACTGCATTTGTCCCTGGGATGGAAAGAAATCCACAGGGAAGAAAATATTCAAACAAGGAGAGACCGTACACATTCCCGTGTAGGATACAGACGGCATTCTAGCTCCAGTCAGATGATGGAGACATATGGGTGGAATACAGAAGCAATGAAGCTAGGCGTTAACTATTAAATCTTAAAAGGAAAAAAAAGTAAACCCTGAATATGGTCAGTAACAATTTCAGTTTTCTAAGTCAATACTGGTCGTAAATGTACTAAGGAAAAGTGTACTAAGTGAAATGTACTAAGTGAAAAGGAAAGGGAGAAACGCAAAACAGTCCTTTTCCTGCATCAAATAAGTTTCCTAGAGATGACTTATCTGTCCTCCTGCAGAAGACAGACAACTAAGAAGGAAAAATCACAGTGATTATTTTGGTTCCAACAGAAATATTTTCCCAAATTAAAGAAACCTGCAGCGGAGATGGTCCATTTCTACCACTAATATATTCAAAGAGATGGTAGATACCACATCAATCACTTTGATCAGTGCTTCTTAGCTCTTTAAACTTAAAGATGAGTGTAAGCCATGTTCTCTGTTAAGGAAAAAAACCACAACATGCCTATTAAATGTGACAATCCAGTGATTACAAGATAATTCCCAATGTAAGAGATACTAAAATGTCTTAAAGAAAGCACATATTACCATTAAGGAAACAATTGATCAGAATTCAAATATGCAATGATAGATAAAATACCCATATAAGGTTGTCACGGCTAAGCCAGGTTTCCTTCCAGTCGGGCATGTGCTTGTGACGCTGGTCACTGCCAAGTGGGCTAGAATACAAACTGGTATGTGGATTCTCAGAAAGTAGGCCACAATCCTATCGATGCTTTTCATGGAAACTTGTCAGGAACGCAGATACAGTTGCTTCTAGATTTTCGATGATGTTTAGAGGCAGTAAAGTGAAAGCATTTCCTGGTGTTGCAGAAGTAGAAACCCAAGCTCAGCATTCAGAAGCTCCGTGATGCCTCTGCGTCCATCCGTCCGTGTTCCCAGAGGGAATTGAGCCGGGGGAAGATATGCGGCCTTGTCTTTCCCCGGCTGGGACCAGCTAAAGTCTCCGAGAGCCCTGACTCATAAACAGAGTCATGGAGTCACGAGCTAGCTAGTGACTCATTACTTTTAGGAAATGTCTTTAGGGCATAAACTGGATTATGGGCTACGGAATAATCCAGCACCACTTACTTGGTAAAGTTCATAAAATTACAATGGGAGTCTGGAGGAATTCCCAGGGGTGATTCTGAGTCTTATGATACACTTAAGTGATGACAAAGAGTCTGAAAAGTTACACTGGGAGAGCAGAAACGGAGTCAGTGGCATGAAATAACTTAAACAAACGGGATCTCGGCGCACAGCACGCAGCGTGGAGACACCATAATAAAACCTGCTCGTATTAATGGATGTGGCATTTTGAAAACCGTGGGCCATTTCTTCATACTGTGTGAGCTGAAAAAGGGGTTCTAAGGGACCGAAGCAAGGTAATTAACAAATTAACCAATCAGGTTTACTCTGACTCCATGTGTGTCTGAGCAGATCTATGCTCCACTGGGCTGTCTTTCATTTTAATCAGGCCTTAACTTTTGTCGTTGTTGAGAAGATGTACAAACGAACATATACCAACTCCACCATTTCTACACATGCAATTCTGTGACTGTCATTGCATTCTTAAGTTGTGCAGCCATTCCACCTCCTACTCTGAGTTCATCTTTCCCAACGAACATAAATGTGTTACTTCCAAGTGGCTGTTGTCAATCTGATTCCATATAGAGACAAACCAAGTAAAAATAAGACACAATGCGCAAGGCAATCATTGTGAGTTAAGCTAAACCATTAATTGGTTTTAAGAAGATTTTAGGGGATGTTTTTAGTTTAAAGTTTAAAGATGATCTCAGGTCGTTAGGCCCAGGAATTCATACAGCTTCCATGGCTCCCTCCAGAAGGCTTAACGTTTGGGAGAATTTAAAGTTGTGTTATCCACCCCTCCCCCACCTGCCGCCCCTTTGATCAGGATTCTTCTACAGAATCTTTGATCAAAGAGTTCAGTAAGGTAGTCAAGCACCATCCACTTCTTCGGGTCTTATAGCAAAGGAAGCAGTCCTCTGTGAAGGCCGTGAGCTACTTAGTTCATATCCTCCCCCTGCCTTGACTCCTCCCTGGTGAATAGACACCCACTGTCCTTGGAAGGCTGCTCCACGGTGGTTTCGATGGCTGGTTGGTAGGAAGGACATCACCACACCTTTCTTCCAGATACTCTCGAGTAGTCCCAAGTGCCCACATTTTCAGTTAGCAGCCCAGGAGCACACATTTATCTCACAAAACAGTCTTTAGAAATTGTCATTTAGACATCTCATTCCTGGATAGCTTTTGATGATATCCTCAGCCACTTGGGGCTGATTATTATTATTTTTAAACTGCTTAGAATGCAGCTTAAGTAGTTCAGCAGGGAGCTATTCTAGAAATAGGCCTGGCAGCACTAGACATTTATTAACCTTTTGTTTGCCCAGGATTTTACTGGGTTCCCATTTTAATTTTTATACCTAAAATTTAAATTTCCTTTGCTTTTCTGACCTCTTTGAGTCTGGATTGTATGCGATAGCATTAAAACTCGACTGATCCCATTACCATTGAGTTGATTTTATAGGGTTTCTGAGGCTGTTAGCCTTTATGGGAGCTGGTGGGGTTGAAAGGCCGACCCTTTGGGTAGCAGTCCAACGCTTACCGAGAGTGCCACCACAGCTCCTCTGACAACCGCAGTAGACACCCATTGAGTTGACAGCTATAGCCTAAGAAGGCCAGAACCCAAGGGTCTGGAGAATAAGAGCCGAGAGACGTCTATCTAGAAAGGATTTCAAGAGTCACAGAACGGAAGGCAGGAAAGCTACAAACTAGTGTTCATACAGAGGAGAGAGACTGTTAAGAAACAGGTTAATTTCCTGAAGCCAGCTTGTGCTACCCGCCAGAGAATCAATTTTAAATTTTCTGGAAATTTCCAAGCCAAGTATTAAGTAGAGTCAGTGTTAAAAGTTGAAGTATATAAACTCATAATTAATTATATGAAAAGCAAGTTAATGATGTTAAAAACTCATCACTTCTTAAAACAAACAAATGAAACACAGATAGCTATTTCATCCATTCATCATGTTATTTATTCATAAATATTTATTAAGGGATGAGACATACAGAGATAAAACCAGTATGGGCTCAAGGAATTCACAGTGGGGCTCTCCCATTAAGTACAGTGTGAAATTTCTCTAATGAAAGTGTTTGCAAAGTGGGAGGGGCGTTGTGGGGGTGGGGGGAGCGCTATTTAGGTTCGGAAACAACCCATGGTGTAGAAATTTGGTGTAGAAATTGTTGAGCGGGAACCTGTCTTGTCTCGCATGTTAATACTGAAAATCCAACAAAACATTTTGAGAGAGAGCGAGAGGGAGGAGGAAGAGACAATGTGGCAGCTGCAGTAATCCAGGCACACGGTCCCATAGCATGAGCAGAACCAGCCAGGTGAGCTGACTGGGCCCCTGAGTGGAATGGTGGCTGTGCTGGTACTGGCAGTACTGGTGAGGGAGGCAGGCCCATTGGGAAAGGCTGCTTCCGGTGAATCAAAGGCACCACAGCTGAGAGGGTGCTTGGGGCATTGGGAGAACTGCCAGGCGTCTGTAAGCATGGTGGTGGGAGCTTGGCAGGGCTGGAGACCAGAGGCAGGACTCGCCTTTCCCACTTTCCCACGGCTGGCCACTCTACCGTGCCTGCTGAGCGAGTGCGACCATTGGAGGTGTCTATGGAGAGGGACAGGGCTGGAGGACTGGCCGTCCAGGTAATCATTTTGGTGAATGGACCCTGAACACAGGTGGTGGAGCTAGGCAGAGACAGGGAAGCTACTCAGGAAGCAGGCCCAGTGCCATCGGAACAGTGGAACCGGCCAGGTGAAGAAGAGAAGACTCTACGCTGTCTTATGCTTTTAATAAAATGGACGTGAAAAAAACGCTAATGGCCTCAAATTTTTATTTCCGCAAGTCTGATTTTTTCATTTGCGTACTCCGTGGCTGGCAGCTTTCTCTCCTTCCCGTTCACTACTGCCCACTTTTCCAATGGCCGATTCTTACAAACTAGAAAAGCTGGTAAGTGAACTGCTAGCACTGGTTGTAAATCAAGAAATGGTACCCTCTTTCTTCCTGCTTGAAGGCCTTTATAAAACAAGACCTTACGGTTGCAAAGGTCAGGCTAATAAGCTGTGATTTCGTGATGAACGAGTTAAGGATTAGCATCTTACTCCAGGCGTTATACCCAATTTGACTTCAATTAGTGAGTGGGTCCTAGAGGCAGAAGGCAGCCTGTTTTGGGTGTTTACTGTATGAACT